ATGCAAGTAAAGGATTCCCACATTGTTTAGCCCAGGGTTTTTTGCTGCCTCTGCCTTTGGTTTTTAAATGAATCATTATTTAATTGAAAATCTTTGGTTTCCCAATTGTGTTTGCCATTGGCCAATATAATTGTGGGCTTGTACTTGGCCAGTGCACAGCAAACAGAAGCATATGGAACTCCACTCTGTGAGTGGGTCCTTAGGAAGAGGCTGCCTCCACCATAAAGGGAGGTTGGGGTACAAGGTCGTTTAAAAGACTTTTCCAGCTATAGTTCTAGAGGTGGCCCAGAACCTTCTCAGCAAATATATTGTTGTTTATTGCTGTATAACAAACCACTTCAGAACTTAGTGGCCACTCTCATTGATTTTGCTCATGAATATGGAATTTGGGCAAGGCTTGGTGGGGAAGGCTCGCCAGCCTCCAAGAGGCATTAGGTGTTTCAATAGGGAACCAGAGGAGCTATTTCCAAGATGGCTCAGTCATGTGGCTGGCAAGTTGGAACTGGCTGTCACCTAGGCACTCAGCTGGGGTGAGAGCCAGAGATTTTGGTTTCTCTCGGTGTGGCCTGAACTTCCTTACAGCATGGTGGCTGGGTACAAGAGAGAGCCAGGCAGAAGTTCTATCATCTTTTATGGTTGAGGCTCAGAAGTCATGCAGCCTCACAACTGTAAACCTTCTAGTCACTAGGAGGGAGTACACTGAAGCCAGAGGAGGGAATTAGGCTCCACCCCTTGATGGCACAAGTGTCAAAGAGTTTATAAATATGTTTTAAAACCACTTCAGCAAATGATATTTCTGATGTCCATCCTTATGTTGGGTACTGTCTCTGATGTCTCCTTTTTCTTTGCTCCCCTCCCCTATTCAGCCCACCTCCAAGAGTTGTAAATTCTACTATCAAAAATATCTTCAAATTTTTTCATTCTGTCATCTCATGCCTGAACCATTGGATCATCCTAACTAAAATTCCTGCCTATGCTTTTCCTCCTGTGACATTTAGGATTAGGTTCAGTTGCATGTGACAAAAATTCAAATAACATTGTACTTAAACAAGGTGAAAATATACTCCTTTTTTACATAAAAGAAACTGACACATAGCCATCCAGGACTTATATACTGCCTCCGTGATTGTCAGGAATCCTGGCTACTTTCATTCTGCTGCTCCATAACCCTTAACACACCTTGGTCCAAGATGGCTGCCCATACATCAGCCATCACTTCCACATTCCAGCTAGGAAGGAAGGAGTGAAAAAGAATACATCCTCTCCCTTTAAGGACCCCTCCCAGAAATTTCTACTTATATCTCATGGACCAATACCTAGTCACATTACCACATCTAGCTGCAATGGAAGCTGAGAATGGAATCTTTATTCTAGGCAGCCATATACCTCACTAAAATCCAAGGGTCAGTAACTAGCAGTCTTGGCTACATTCCTTTGAATTTATTCTCCACACTGCACCAAGAAGTGTTTTCCTAAATGTACATCTGAGCATATCACTCCCTTGTTAAAAATTCCTTAAAATGACTCCAATGTTCCTCCTATCTGAACTTCTGTGTCTGCTCTCACTATTGATACTCTGCCTTCAAGGTGTACTTACCTACTTGTAGTTTCCAGCATACTCTCTCTCGTCTCAAGATTTTTGCATGTACTGCTCCCTTTGTATAAAATCTCCTCCCACTTTCTTTGCAGGTTCACTCTACTGTCTTCCAACAAGCCTTTGAGGGACCCATGAAAATGTTTTGATTTATTTTAAAATTAGAAGGAAAAAAACTAAACTTTTAGGTCTAGGAAAATGTTTAAATATATAGTAATAATATATGTGTCTTCATACCAAAATATAATTTTAAATATTTTTTATGGAGGAAGGGGCCCATGAAGGCAAAAGTACTGAGGCCTATAAAAGTTATAATGGGCTCATGGCTCCCTGACTTCACCCCAGTCATGGTTCTCCTTGCACCACACTGTAACTGCTAGGCATTTGATGATCTTTCCCATCCAACAGGCCCTGGGAGAACAGAGCCTGCTTAGTTCCCCTTTGTATCTTCAGTGCCCAGAATACACTCTGGTCCTTGGTAGATATAAACATTGGTGGGTGAATGAATGTATGGGTGCCCTGATCTCAGCTAACTGTGCAGTTACATCTCTAGTAAAGATAAGAATGCAAGTCCTCCTGCCTGTCTCCACCTACCTCTCACCTGGTGTACTGTCTTGGTACAAATACTAGGTATGTGTGACTTGGGGCAACTCACTATTTCTCTAAATCTCAATATTGCCATCTGTAAATTGGGAACAATAATAGTACCTACCTCATTGGATTCTTGTGAGGAGTAAATGAAAGAATATATTACCTTTAAGGAGTTTTGAATAGTTCCTGTTGTATACTAAACAGTAATTATTACAGATTATATGGTTGTTGTTATGGTCAATTAGCATCCTACCTCTCCCAGAGGTATTTTAATTTAAGGGTTGGCTCTTGAAAGAGAAGAAGAAATAACTTACCTCCATTACCACCATTGGTTATCAATATGATGGAATTTCAGGCTGTGTAGGTAAGACAATCAGAAGCAAAGAGAGCATCTCATAGTTTCAAGTCATCTTCTATAGTCTCCACCTGGGTAGCATGTGGGGCTGGGGGCAAGACAGGATGTATTACAGGGGAAAGGGCATGGATATTAAAATCTAACAAATTGGGTTCTGTCTCAAGCTGCTATAACAGAATAACATGGGCTGGGTGGCTTAAACAACAGAAATTTATTTCTCACAGTTCTGGAGGCTGGGAAGTCCAATATCAAAGTGCCAGCCAATTTGGTTCCTAGCGAAGGCTCTATTTCAAGTGTGCAGATGGCTGTCTTCTAATAGTATCTTCACATGGTGGAAAGCATAGAGAGAAAATAAGCTGTTTATGTCTCTTATATGGGCACTGGTCCCATCATGAGGGCTCCACCTTCATGACCTAGTTACCTCTCAAAGGTTCCATCTCCAAATACTATCACAATGGGGATTAGGGTTTCAACATGTGAATTTTGGGAGGGATACAAACATGCAGGCCATAGCAGGTTCAAATCATAAATCCAACCCTTCAACCTTTACCGACACTTTGAAAACTTCTAATTCCTCAGTTGCAAAATGAGGCTCATAACAGTACTTACTTTGTGGGGGCTCGCAAGAGGATTAAATGAGCATGTGAAATACCCAGCTCATTGTCTAGCTCTCCTCTCATCGATAAACATTTCCAAAGGATGGAGAACACATGAATTGGACACTAACAGAGGCATAAAACTGGAATTTTTTAGGTATGTGTGAAATTTTCTTAATTTTCTCTCTTTGAGTTGACCTCTTGTGTCCCCACTCCTCTGGGGATTAGAAAGCATCATCTACACACTGTCAGGCAACCTTGGTCACAATCCAGCATGTCCAGTCACTTTAGAATTCCAACCAGCCTCCCTCCTTCCCTGGGGAGTCCAGGAGGTCATCTGGTGCCCAGGTCGTGGTAGTTTAACAAACATCCACACTGGCCTCTCTCTGCCAGTCTGCTCTGGTCCTCATCTAGGAGCAGGAGCATACTCTGCCCAAAGCCATGGTCCAGATGTGGCCCTGTGGTAGTGTGACCAAGCATCTCAGTTTTCTACTTTTAGCACTGAGAGCTCCACATCCCAGGAAACTCTCAGTTTCAAGCAAACCAGGATGGTTGGACATCCTACCCTATTGACCTGTCCAGACCTTCTCCAAACTCCAAGCTCCAATCTCAAGGCCCCCGAAGGTCTTCTCACCCTCCTGGGTTCCCACTGGGAAGATTGAAGACTCCAGTCTGCTGTCTTTGCCCCACACTAGGGTGCTCAGGGCTCTGGAGACTGTCCTTAGCCACCTAACACAATGGCTCATTCAGCCAGAGACTCCCCTAGGCAGACCACCTGTAAACACAGTATACAGACACACTGTGGATACACATTCTGCCCTGGAACTTTCAGGCTTTAATTTTGATCTTCAAAGCCAGGCTCTTTGAACTTGAAAACCCTGTTCTCACTCACAAAGTCTGACTCTTGTTATCATTGCTATCATTGGCTATCATCACTATTCTCTGTGCTTGGAATTTAAATTTTTTAATTTAATGAGAGCAGATAGCATTTATTGAGTGCTTACTGCTCACTGGACACTGTTCTAGTATTTTATATCTATCAACTTATTTGATCCTCATGCCCTCTTAGGGTGCTATTACTAGTATACTCACTTTAGAATCAAAGGTACAGGAAGACTAAGTAACTTGTCCAAGGTCACACAGCTAGCTGGTACATGTGGAGCCAGGGTTGCGTTCTGGCAGACTGGGCCCCAGGGCCCTGTTCTTAACTATGTTTCTTTTCTTTCATCAGTGTGAGGAGAAAGATGTAAGAGAGGACTAGGTCATGAAAAGAAAGTCTAGGTCCTTATCTCTCAATTTTATCCCAAGAAGAACAAAGCAACACCATCATAACTGTGGTGACATCTTATTGAAATGCTGGAAGGGATCCAAAAGGCCAATTGCAAGGGGCCCTAACTCATTAACTCAGCCTGAGATAAGATCTGTGTGGAAGGGCAGGGTGGGGGCCCTAAGATGGGTGGGTACAGGCACGCCAAGATTCCAACTGCCTGCCTGCTGGGAGTATCTTGCCTTCTCAGTGCCCTCATCCTCTATCCCCAGGACAACTCAAGCCCTTCTCCTCTGCTCCTGGGTCCTCCTCGCCCCTCACTGCTGCCCCCTCCCAGGTAACCTGCTTGGCTCCCTCCTGCCCCACCCCCCAGGGGTGTTTTGCCCTCCTCCCCACCTCGATGATCTTTTCCATCCCCCTCCCACGCTGCCCCCCAGTAGCGCTAAGCCCAGCTCTCCTCCCCCTGCCTGGGACCTTTCCTCCCCAGAACCCCTTCACCCCAAAGTGTCCCCCACCATCAGAGCCTGCCAGAGCCCTGTCTTGCAGATGACATGAGTGGTCAGCACCCTTTGCGGTCTCTCTCACCCTCCCTCGCAGGGCCTGTCCAGCCCTCTTCTGCTCTGCCCGTCACAGCGACTCCTGGACCGCGTGGTCCGGCGCTATGCAGAGGTGGCCGATGCCGGTAGCATCTTCATGGACCACTTCACGGATCGCGACAAGTTGCGTCTGCTCTACACACTGGCTGTCAACGCGCATCCCATCTTCCTACAGGTACACAGAGACCCCAGAAAGCCCCTCCAGGGAAGGAGTTCACTTTAGACTCTGAAAGGGGCAGCCCTGGGTTGAGCTCTTTTCCCATTTACTGCACGCCTTGGGGCCACCAAACCATGTTAGTGCCTTCGTGGCACTCAGTAAATACACTTTGGCTTCTGCTGGAGAAAGCGCTGTGGTTGCTGTAGAGGAAAGACATGTGGGAGCCAGAGGGATGAGATGGAGATAACAGCCACCATCACTGCAGCCTGGAAGGGCTCTGTGAAGGGCAACTCTGATCTGTGCCTCAAAGATCAGTAAGATTTGAGCAAGCCAAGGAGGTAGGGAAATAGCCAAAGAATGACCCCTCCTCCTCCAGATGTACCCTGGGGCTGTGGTTGGAAAGGAGAAAATAAACTGCAAGTAACTTTTTTTTTTTTTTTTGGGGGGGCAACCCTTGGTTGACCTCACAGAGGGAAAGGACCTTTTCAGCTTACAATCCCTTATTTTTTATTTTATTTTTTATGCCTACAGCACCTGATCTTCCTAGGTGGTCTCCCATCCAAATACTAACCAGGCCCGACCCTGCTTAGCTTCTGAGATCAGACGGGATAGGGCTTGTTCGGGGTGGCCTGGCTGTAGACTGCAAGTAATCTAAATGACCAACAACATGGGAATGGTCAAATAAATGAGAGTGCACTAGAGCCTGAGGATAAACTGGTCAACAAGACTGGAGAGAGGATAGAAGAGAGAAACTCTGGGCTTGCGCAGTGGTTCCCAAAACTTGTGTCACCCAAGGGGAGCCTTCACGATTTTTGGCCTATCACAGAACCTGGTGCCTATACTGTTATTTTGAAGAATATTTTTCCTCAATAGGCCTTAAGTTGGCCCTGTTTTTCTCTCCTTGGCCTCTTCCTATGCAGTGATATCTGTGAAATCTCAAATACTAGTCATATTTTTTTCAACTATATAACTCTTAAAATAAATATATTCCCTTGAATCTGAATCTTTTCTAAACCCTGGCAAGTGCCTTAACATTCTCATATCTCACCTGGGGACACTCTGGAAATGCATCCACTACATGGAAATAAGAGCTTCCTTTTCTGAATCTCTTCATCTAAAAACGGGAGTAGGGGACAGAGGGAGTGTTGCTTTGTTCCAAGAGATATAGAAAAATTTGAGGGACACTTTGCTGACATGTTTTGAGAAGGAGGGTGCCTGTTTGAAGCTGATCTTTCTGTGTGCCTGCACTGAGAAACGTGGGGTGGGGGGCAGGGGATGGAGGTAGCAAGGGAGCTGTCTCTGTGAGTTTTTTCTCTCCATTCCTCTAATACCTCCTCTTCTTCCCTGCTTGACAGATCTTCCCTGGCGCTGAGGGGTGGCCGCTGCCCAAGTATCTGGGCTCCTGTGGCCGATTCCTGGTCAGCACCAGCACCAGCCTACTGCAGGAATTCTATGGTGCCCCCCCAGACCAGGCAGCCGACCTAGCCTACCAGCTCCTTGGGGTCTTGGAGTCTCTGAGAAGCAACGATTTGAACTACTTCCTCTACTTTACCCATGTGGATGCCACCATGTTTGGCATCTTTAACAACGGGCATCTGTTCATCAGGGATGCCAGTGCTCTGGGCGTCATCGACAAGCAGGAAGGTACCCAGCATGGGCCTGGCTGAGCAGCTGTCAGAGGGGATGTCAGGGTGACAGGAGCTTGTTGGGGTGACAGAGAATAGCACCACTGGGCTTTTACAGTCTCCGTGTGTCATGGTGAGAGCAGCCCAAGTTCGTGTCAAATGACCCTCTCCCCCTTTAGCGTCTCTGCTCCAACTCTACCTCCAAATGGGAAGTAACATTGACCTTGTCCATGGAGGGTATTTTACATTGTGGCTGGGCCTCAAAGGCACTGCTGTAGTCCAATTCGGTCTCTGTGGCCTGAGGACCTGACCTGCCCCTCCTCACATATACCACTCCTATATCCATCTCCCCCTCAGCACCTTTCTCATCAATTGTTTTCAGCCTTTATCTGAAACTTAACTATCTGGCTGATTCATTTGTACAGTTTGCAATCCATTCTGGCACCTTTGCTTTTTATAAAGTTTGAAACTTAAAAGCATGGCGCCACATGAGTTATATGAGTGAATCATGTTTCTCACTGTGTGCACAGTCATCTGGGGTTCTAGAGCCCTTTGAGCATCCCAGTCTTTAACGGTGACCAAATGTTCTGAGCCCAATAATAGGACAGAGGATTCTTTATATGAGAAGGCCCTATGAAGATAGACCAATTAAATCACACTTACTCATTTCCTGGTTTGCCTTTACTAGCAGAAATGAGGCTGATTGCCAAATATTCAGGATATGTAAATCACTGAACATCGAGTCCCATGACAACCCACTGAATGCATATTATGGATTACCTGTGCTTTCTCCCAACTTTGTATTTAAAAAAGGCAAGTGAAAGTTGTCCTATTAATTTTCTTAGTTCCCTGATTCAGTAATAAGAATGGAAAAATCACAATATGGAGGTGAGCCCTACAATTGTAAGCCCAACTTCTGCTAGAGATAAGTGCAATTTCTATGCCCAGGCCTCATCCTATTGTAGCAAAGAGAGTTCTTCCCATGTTGTTCTCAGCAGGGGCCATGGTGTCCCTCAACCCTAAATCTCTTGGAGATGCTAGGAGACTAAACCACTTTGCCCAGCAATTCTAATTAGTGGCACCTCTCCCAAGGAAAACAGGTTGTAAGGTGTGCAACATTTCCTACTTCTCTTCTAGGCAGTCAAGCATCCACCATGGCAGGAGAGAATAAAGACATCTTTAGCTGCCTGGTTGCTGATTGCCAAGCCAAACTGCCCTCTTGTGACACCATCCCTGAGAAGCAGAGCCTGGTACTGGTGTGTCAGCAGGTGCTGCCTCGACTTCTCCAGGGGAAGTTCCCCTCCCTGGTGCAGGAGCGGATAGATGTCCTCCTCGCTCAGTGTGGGGAGGGAATCCGCCCAGACCCCGAAGTCCTTGGGGCTGCCAGCCAACTGAAGGACATCTTGAGACTCCTGAGAACCTGTGACCCCAGATTTGCCTACCGCTACCCAGACTGCAAGTATAATGATAAGTTCTGAGGGACTGGAGCCTTGGCTCCAGGGACAACATCCTTGACTCTCCAGTCCCAGGTGAAATTGTTGCAAGGTTGAAAGAAGCAGATCCATTTTAGACATTAGAAAAAATTCACATTCATTTCCCAGGGACTAAGGAATGTTCCAACGACCAGAAGGCAGTTGTGCAACATGGTATGATTGCCCCGCTGACTGGGCCATCGTGGAAGAGCCCAGGAGTAGTGGACACTCACTCAAACTGTGAGCCCCAGTTTCCTCTGTTCTCCACCAGACTCCCGAGTTAGTGAAAGAAGGCACAGATTGGAAGGGCCAGAGACATATACTTCTTTCCCCCAGCCCAGGTGGTTATAAGGTATGTTCCAGAACTGTGCACAGGCAGGGTGAATGAAACAGAACCATGGAGGTCAAAAGGCTGGAGTGAAGGGAAGGTTTTGGGAAGGTGAGGCCCACTGCAAGTAGCACTTTAAACAGACAAGAAATCCTCCTTAGTGCTCCCTATGCCCCTGCACTAGTCCTTCTGCCACAATAACCACATCATCTCAGGGTAAGAAGACTGCAGGCCAAGGACACACACAGACAGAACCATGCCCTGGATGCCTGGGGCCCCATACATGTGCAAGTGAAGCACCTTCTGTGTGGGAAGGAGTCAGCGGGGTAGGCTGAGGGTCAATATTCATCAGGGTCCTTGGAAAAGCAGGTGTCAAGACAGGATGAAACGGGCAAGGATTGTATTAACAAAGATGCTTGTGTGGGAGGAAAGAAAGAGGGAGCCAGAGACAGCTGAGAGAGGCAGCAGGCGGAGCTGAAGGACAGAAAGAAGGTCCTGTGGAAGTCTGAACCTGAAGGACAGAAAGAAGGTCCTGTGGAAGTATCCAAGACTGTCATTTGCACAATAAAAGAAAGCTTCAGCAAGACTTTCAGGGTGTCCTTAAGCCAAAGCCAGCCATCAGATGAGGCCCAAGTCTCCCGAGAATGGGCAGCCCTATACCCCTGCTGTAAGGAAAAGCCCATAGGAAGCATGGCCTCAGCCCAAACGCAAAGACGGATTTCAAAATTCAGCAAGGGGCACTTAGCCAATTCTGCACCCTGGAGCAGGAGGACTGTGAGTAGACATTCTCATTGCAGCCATAGCCAGGACCAGGACAGCTTTCTCTGTACTGTGGCCTCCAACGCAGGACTTTAAGGAGTCCAAGAATTTTCATTCAAATGTGGTCTTACAGGTCATTATAAATTTTTTCAAGGTTAGCCAAAAGAATATATTTTATTCAACAGTATGTTAGTTTGACATATACCTTTTAAAAATTTAGCCACATGGTATATGGGCCTTCATGTATATTCTTGCTCTAGCTTCTCAAACATTAGTCAGGGGCTCTTTGGACCTTTGCCCAGCCTCCCTGCCAGGGACTTCTACCCCAGGGGCCTCTCAATTGGCCTCTCTTTTAAAAATGCCTGGCTTAAGCTTCATGATGCAGATGGGAAAACTGAGGTCCAGGGAGGAAGAGTGACTTTCTGGGATAGTTCCAGAACTCCTACTACCAGTCCGCACTCCTGGTGCCTCCTCCTTCAGCCTGTGACTCTCACCATGACCTATGCAATTCTAGTCCTTTCATTCACATTTAAAGCTGGGCCAAGAAAAAATCCTATACTAAGGTGCACTAGGTTGCCTGTGGGATTTGCCTTTTGACTGCTCCAGGCATTATCCCCAGGGAAGCCATGAGAATGAGGTTGACAGGCACAAGCTTCTGGAAGAACAGGCTTAGGCTACCTGAGAGTCTGAGACAGTTGCCTTCTGGCCTGGTTGGGAGAGTGAGGATTGACCACCCTTCCCAAAACTTTGTTGTCAGCCCAGTGAAACTGATTTTAGACTTCTGGCCTTCAGAACTGTGAGAGGATAAATGCCTATTGTTTCAAGCCACACACTTTGAAGTAATTTGTTATAGTAGCCACAGGAAATGAATACACACCTCAAATTCTATTTTAGTGTCTGCTTCCAGAGAACCTAACCTGCAGTGTTCTCCAACTCCAGTCTGTTATGATGGATTAAAAAGCCAGACCCGACATGAAGGAGTGTGTTAGCATCTATACTCAGGGCTGAGGCTTGGATGGTTCCATTCCTCCACTTGCTAAATCCTGTGCATCATTTAAAACCCTGTCTGAGTTCTTACCTTGACAGAAATCTTTTCCTAACAGTGCAACCTCCAGAATCTTTTCTGAACTCCAACTCTGTACCCCTGAACCATAGGTCGGTGTCCCGTTTGAGGTCAATCCCAGAGAGATCTGTGTCCTACCTTTCCATCAAACTGGGAGATCCCTGAGGATGGTGATAGCATTGGGCAGGGGGTAGGGGTGGGGTTGTGTTCCCAAAGCAGCTGGCACAGGGCTGGGCACAGACAGGTGCTCGGAAAATGTTCTTGCTAAGAATAATGATCGCCTTCTTAAGCCCTTTTTGCTTGCTGTTTTCCACATACCATGTGCTATACACTAAATGTGTCATCCCCAAATTAATATATTGAAATCCTAACCCTTAAGGTGAAGGTATTAGGAGATGGGACCTTAAGGAGATAATTAGCTCATGAGGGTGGAGCTCTGATGAATGGGATTAGTGCTTTTATAAAAGAGGTCCCAGAGAGCTCTCTGGCCCCTTCTTCCACGTGAGGACACATTGAGAAGGTGCAGGCTATGAACCAAGAAATGGGCCCTTATCAGACTCTGAATCTGCCAGTGCCTTCATCTTGGACTTCCCAGCCTCCAGAACTGTGAGAAATAAATGTGTGTTGCTTGTAAGCCACCCAGTTTGTGGTATTTTGTTCTAGTAGCCCAAATAGGCTAAGACACCATGCTGGTCATATACACAACACAACCACTTCCTTGAAAACAGCTCTTTACCCTCAACAACCAGGAGACAGGTGAGTCAACACTCAAGAGGCTTCAACCAGAATTTTTCACAGCATATTCTCAGTCCCCTGGAATCTGATTGGACACATTAGAGTATTTTTCTGAGTTTTGCCAGCCACTGCCTTTTTGTCCGCAAGACTGGCTACATAATTTGTGGGGCTAGGGCAAAATGAACATTGGGGCCTCCTGTTATTAAGAATTGCAAGACGGGGACAGCAGAGCATTAAACTAAGCGCAGATCCTGTGGGACTGCATATATTGCATATCCATGTAGCTGGCCCTAGGTGCCTGAGAATACTAATATACCTTAACCTCTGCATAGAGTGTTCTTGGAATTTACTGGGATCTAACTTGACCTCTACACTCAAGGGAAGTAGGTGTGGGACCAGAGGTGATATATATTTAACCACCATGGCAAAGGAACTGAACTATGAGAACAGACCCCACCAGCTGCAGCTACCAGGCAAGCATAACAGCAGCACTGGGGACAAGTCCTACTTTTCAAATGAGGAAACGGGTTCAAGTGATTTGCTCAAAGTAACAATTTTTAGGTTTCCTGCTTTGCTGGTCTTCCCCTATAGCATCTGACTTCTGCTTCTAAGTGATTCTATGAGCCTGAATGTTTTCTCCAGAGTTAAGATACTTTGTTGGATTTGTATGTATGTGTTTTTCTTTGAAAGATCTAGAGTCCTGGAATCAGACAGACTTGGTTTCAAATTATGACTCTGTTGGCTACTGTGTAACCTTGGGCAAGTTGTTGAACCTCTTCGAGCCTCACTTTCCTCATCAATAAAATGGGAAGAAAACGCTTAATCTTCTTGGCGTTATTGTCCTGTTTAAACAGTACAATGTCCCTCAAGAGCTTGGCACATATGAACATTCTGTATTTGTTTTTTTGGGAAAGAGCAGAGGGTCACCTGGCAGAAAGAGACCTCACCCAGCCAAGGTAAGTGCTGTCGTCTCTTGAGAGGGACCCTGATGCCTGCCCTAAAGCACTACTGCAGCCCAGAGGAAGCACCAGGATACCACAGGCTGCTAGACAGTCTGACTTGGGCCATGTTCTTTCCTCCTGTAATCTAGACTCTGGGTTGATCATGAATGGCAGCTGGGCAGTCACTACACTTGCCTCCCCAGCCTGGCTCTCCATCAGGTTAAGAGAGAATCTTCCTCAAGCAGGTAGTGTTGGGGGCCTTGGGAAGTCCATCTGCACTCAGTATTGTAGTGAAATGAGAAAGCCATCTTGGCCCATTGAAAACTTCATGTTCACTGCCTTTTGGTGGTGATGTAGCTTTTCTGCACATTTTGGGCCTATTATCCACATATATTGGCACATCTGGGCTCATGCACACACAGCTATACTCTGGCCTACCCACAATTCTTTATGGCATTCTTAAGAAAAGTTATGGTTGTGAGCTATGTAGGAGAGTCGACACCTAGGCAGGAGTCCTTGAATTTGCAGATATAATAACCCTTCAAGAAGTCAACTTAGAGGACTTGGCCAGCAAAGGGTAACTGGGCAACCAGTTCAAGTGCCCCACCAAATGGAGAAGCAGACAAGGAGGGGAACACCCATGTTCCACTATGGTGACTAGGGCGTAGTCTCAGACCTAGACTGTGACTGTAGAGGCAGTATGGCAATGCAGAGGAAGCAGTGGCTCTGGAAGCAGAAATGTCTGACTTCAGATCTTGTGCTAGTCCCTCTTGAAAAAGTCAGTGCATCAAAGTTATTTATTGAAGCATTGTTTGCAACTGTAAATGCTAGGAACAATCTAAATACCTAAACATGGGATAGTGGTTGAATAAACTGTGATACATCCACACAATGGAGTTCTGTACAGCACTACAAATGAATGAGGAAGATCTCTATGAACTGATATGGAATGATTTGCGGGATATACTGCTAGGTAAGAAAAAAAGAGCAAAGCACATGAGGGTATCTATAGGATGCTACCTTTCATGTAAGAAAGAAGGCAATATAAGAAAACATTTATGCATCTGCTCACTTGTGATGATATACATATGTATATACATATACATACATACATATATGTTTATATATTATATATATAAACATATTATATATATACATATACATATGAGAGAGGAAGAGA